CTTCCGCCTCATGATGCTGAGGTGAGAACCCTCGTGCCCTCACTTGCCTCACCTTCCGCCTCATGATGATGAGGTGAGAACCCTCGTGCCCTCACTTGCCTCACCTTCCGCCTCATGATGCTGAGGTGAGAACCTCGTGCCCTCACTTGCCTCGCCTTCCGCCTCATGATGCTCAGGTGAGAACCCTCGTGCCCTCACTTGCCTCACCTTCTGCCTCATGATGTTGAGGTGAGAACCCTCGTGCCCTCACTTGCCTCACCTTCCGCCTCATGATGTTGAGGTGAGAACCCTCGTGCCCTCACTTGCCTCACCGTCCGCCTCATGATGCATATTATGCGAGGTCCCATCTGCCCTACCATAATATGCTTCTTATTAGCACGTGATGTTTCGTTCATATCTCTTTATACCACGTTGTCAGTAATCGATGTTCGTAACTGTATTCAGTCTAGCCGCCTTGTTTAGATTGTACTGTTTTATCTGTATTGTCTAAAACTGATTTGGCTATAACAGCATTTTCAGTAACTTCATAGCCTGTAACTGCGTTGTTTGTAGCTGTAGTGTTTGTACCTGAAACTGAAACACACAAGGTTTGTACAGACACGAGCAGCGTGTACGTGAGAGTACCGTATGTGGGAGGCCATCATTGTAACATAGTCTGTATCATATACCGTAGTCTGTAACCCTCACTAAGATGAGCGTTAATTGCAGACACGAGCAGCGTGTACGTGAGAGTATGTGGGAGGCCATCAATGTAACATAGTCTGTATCATATAGTCTGTAATCCTCACTAAGATGAGCGTTTGTTGCAGAATCATTATAACATAGTCTGCATCATATAGTCTGTAACTAAGATAGCGTTTGTTACAGACACGAGCAGCGTGTACGTGAAAGCACGTGAGAGGCCATCATTGTAACATCATAGTCTGCATCATGTGGTCTGTAACTAATATGATCGTTTGTTACAGACACGAGCAGCGTGTACGGGAGAGTACCGTATGTGGGAGGCCATTATTGTAACATCATTGTCTGTATCATATAGTCTGTAACCCTCACTAAGATGAGCGTTTGTTGCAGAATCATTGTAACATAGTCTGCATCATGTAGTCTGTATCTAAGATGAGCGTTTGTTACAGACACGAGCAGCGTGTACGGGAGAGTATGGACGACGACTCAGGCTCAGAGAACCAAAGCAACAGCGGCGGCAGCAACAACAGACCATCGCTAGACCGCCTCAACAGCCCCAGGATGAAGCGAGCCTCCAGACATGTTCAGAAGCTCAACATGGGCGACAGCAAAGACGACATTCATGTGTGCATTATGTGCATGCGGGCCATCATGAACAATAAGGTATGCTCTAGTGCTTTATTCTTCAATTATTTATATTTGAGAATTTAAATGCAAATAACATGGGCGACAGTAAAGACGACATTCATGTGTGCATTATGTGCATGCGGGCCATCATGAACAATAAGGTATGCTCTAGTGCTTTATTCTTCAATTATTTATCCGTGATAATTTAAAGGCAAATAAAACAAATTCCAATACTATTCACCGCAATTTCAATTAATACGTTTCAAAGGCCAGCTCCTTCACGAGTTTAGAAGTGATTCAGTTTTGTTAAGTAATCGTGCAGCATTCGTACAAAATTTTGTTACTAAAAATATGTGAATTTGGTGTCATTTTCGTTGTTTTTAAATCCTTAGTTAGTTTTCGATTGCAGCCAATAAATGATCTTAGTTTATGTTGCACGGACATGTTATAGATTGTCGTTTGATATCCAATCCGTCGTCGGCCGTTTGGCGTTGGAGACTGAAAAGTTCATCAGCACCAGGTTTAATATCTTTTTATTTTGTTAATCCTGAATTCCTTGCCCTTAATCAATTATTTGTTCCCTTGCTTCGGAGTGCCTGTAATCGAAGTATCTATTTCTTCCCTTCAGTACGGCTTCAATTTAGTATTCGACCACCGGGAGGCGATCAACTGCATCGCACTGAGCCTCAACCACCACAGCTACAGGTAATAATAATAATAATAAAGCGGTTTCAGCGTTTATTAGGCCGTTGGCCTCTCGCCGATTCTTAACATCGCAGAAAATTCGCAGCTTGTTGCTGTCTCGAACTCGCAACTAGCTGCTACAATTCTGCTGTGCTTAACCGCCCGGCCTCCTCGCCGATTCTGGCCAGAAACTGGCGCACAGAGCTGGGATCGAACCTGCGCCTCTCTGCGCCAATCCTGGTACTCTGAACTGTAACCACTGGGCCACCCCGCCTCCCACCTAACCTAACCACCCCGCCAGTCTCGTCCCTATCCTCCCCCGTACTCCCCAATTCCTCATCCCTCCCCGACCTTTTGTTCCTATCCTCTTCATTTCCTCATATTACAGTTTGTGAGCTCCTGCAAACTGAAAGATTATGTAAACTTGCACATAGTTTAACTATCACTAGAATTGGTTCAGTGAGGAACGAGCATTTCCTGACTCAAGCATCAAAATTCACGAACTTTATAGTTAAAGTCGACTGTGCCATTTATTGTATTCTTTTTTCGTGTCCATTTAAACACGCTAGTCAAAAACAAAACTCTAACCAAGAGTGACGGCTCCATGGCACAGCTATCCTTGGCCGTTTCTACGGCGAAGGGTTAAAATCAATGTCGAGCACACTTTAAATATGAAATACATTTCGTTGAAATCGTATTTGCACCTGATTAAATAGTTATTTATGCTCGTTTGATATTAAAATAACATCCACAAGTGTTGAAATGACGTGATGGACCACACTAAACTGACGACTATGAAATACCCAGTTCAGTTTCAAAATCAAGTTGTGATTGTAATGAGATCTCATCATGTCTCGCTTATTGCGTATTTAAAATTTAGCTAGGTATACATTTTAACGTGTTTCTCTCGCTGTTCTTAATTAGACATCAAAGTTTCCCAGATAATTCCAAGTGCTACAAGACTTACATGACATGGGTCAAACAATGTCCACATTTTACCACAGTAAGACGGGCGTGTGTGTCTTGCTAAACATATCTGCTGTCGACCGATCGACCTTTAAAATTTAGCATAGCGCCTGAGATTTCGAGACTGCTTAGTTACTGCTTCATTCTCTACTTACTGCTTAGTTACTGCTTCATTCTTTACTTTACTGCTTAGTTACTACTTCATGAATTCTTAGTTACTGCTTCAAGTCACGTGCTGCGTTCTCATCATGTTTACACATGTTTGTTTATATGCTCATGACTCATGTTTTCATTTGTCACCAGAACAAAAGCCCTGGTGCTGGAGCTGCTGGCGGCCATCTGCCTAGTCAAGGGCGGCCACCACATGATACTAAACGCCTTCGATAACTTCAAGGAGACCTGCGGAGACCCTCACCGCTTCTATACCTTAATGCAATACTTCTCCAACCCAGACTGCTTCCATATCGAATTTATGGTGAGCAAAGAGCGCCTTAGTACAGTACCTCTCCAACCCAGACTGCTTCCATATCGAGTTTATGGTGAGCAAAGAGCGCCTTAGTACCTGTCTCTTATACACATCTAGATGTGTATAAGAGACAGTGTACCGAGTGTCTCCACACTTGTGACCGAGTGTCTCCACACTTGTGACCGAGTGTCTCCACACTTGTGACCGAGTGTCTCCACACGTGTTCACTGCCCTGAGCGGCCCACATGTACTTTCTCCTTTTCTGCTTGCATGACCTTTAGGTCACGTCATTTGTGCTTGAAAAGTTTGAAAAATGTTGTCAGATTTCCTTTACCCCTTGAAAGGGAGATAAAGTTGCGAAATTTTGATGTTTATTGATTTATTTTAATTTAGTGCATGGACGATGGAAGTCGTCACTGGTTAATATTGTCTCCGATACATTTGTCTTGTTCAATTAAGCTAACTGAAGCTTGCCAGCTGTGGAAACTTAACGTGCATGTATTTGGCTTGTGTTCGCTTCACTTGGTAGTGTGGCCGTTTCCTCCTCCCTATTCCTCTGCATCCTCTATTCACTCATTGTCTTTCTTTCACCTTCTCCCTCTTCACCTCCTCCCTCTTCACCTTCTCCCTCTTCACCTTCTCTCTCTTCACCTTCTCTCTCTTCATCTTCTCACTCTTCGCCTTCTCCTTCTTCACCTTCTCTCTCTTCACCTTCTCCCTCTTCCCTCTTCCTCTCTTCCCTCTTCACCTTCTCCCTCTTCACCTTCTCCTTCTTCCTTCTCGTCCCAACTAAGGGAGGAATGCCCTCACCCGCCCTTCACCCCCAAGACGCCCTCGCACCACCACTCCTCATTTCCGGCGCAGCTGCTGCTGCTGCTGCTGCTGCTGCTGCTGCTGCTGCTGCCGCTGCTGCTTGGCTGCTGCTGCTGCTCGTCTGTTGTTGCTGCAGCGTGTACTGCTGCTGTTTATGTTGCTGCAGCATTTAATGCGATCACTGCCCCTGCTGTGTAGTTTATTCTCAACGTGTTGCAGATGCTGCGTGCGCTACAATTGTATCTCTCGTCGCAATCACTGCTGAGTAGCATCTTCATCCATAGACCTACTGCCGCCACTCTAATGATGCTTCATGTATAGCCATGGCCTTGTCATGGTCATGTATAGCCATGACCGCAACTACATCACCACCAACCAGTGTGCTGCATCACTGAAGCCATCATCATGCAGTGCAAGTGATGCTGTCACGGCCTGTTATCATTATCCCTTATAGAGTAGAAAACATGGAGCAATGAGTACGTTGAAAACGTTGACAATGAGTAATTGTTGATCATTAAACATTTATTAGTTTATATTACAAATCTACTCTTGGTACACCGAGGCAGACGCTGCCAGTCTCGCTTCCAAATTCTATTCGGTAATCTTGTCATCTTGTATTAATTGTATATCATTATCAATACTATTGTTGAGGAGCAGTCGCCATTCAGTTGTGGCGCCTTAAGTGTTTCAGTTCTAGTAAATCTTGCCCCTTTCTCCAGTAAAATTATCTATGGAAATTTGATGTACCTTTTGACGGTTTCTTTTTTTTTTGAGTTATCAGTCATCTCATTCTTACAATTTTTGGTGGAATTAAGTCTCGTCATTAATTGGATCCAATGGTTAATTATATTGGTTTTTAAACGTACCCTTGATTACATCGTATAGTTTAGCAAGCGACCACCAAGTTTGTTCAGGAATTGTGCGCTTCAAAGTTCCTCGTAGCGTCGCAAAATCTGTGCAATGCACTGGCCCTGACGTGAAGTGTCCGGACCTTGGACCGATTTGCTTGTGTGTTGATGGTTAGCTTGTGTGGTGGTCTACTGATGCGTATGTGTGTTATGTGTGCGTTAGTGACTAGCTTGTGTGGTGGTCTACTGATGCGTCTGTGTGCGTTAGTGACTAGCTTGTGTGGTGGTCTACTGAAGCGTATGTGTGCGTTAGTGACTAGCTTGTGTGGTGGTCTACTGATGCGTATGTGTGCGTTAGTGACGAGCTTGTGTGGTGGTCTACTGTTGCGTATGTGTGTTATGTGTGCGTTAATGACTAGCTTGTGTGGTGGTCTATTGGCGTGTTTGTGTGTGTGTGTGTTGTATGTGTGTTAAGAGACGAGCTTATGCTTTGGTCTAGATTTAATTCAGATGTATTCTGGGTGTTTGTGACGAGCTTATCTGTGTGTGGTCCATTGATGCGTATGTGTGTTTGTAATGAGCTTGTTTAGTCTAGGCATGTGTGTGTGTGTGTGCCGTCGGATGCATCTGTGCTGGTCATGCGTATTTGTACTTACGTCTTGTCAGAGTTTATTGTACAAGTGCGTTTGTTGTACACCACCGAATGTGTGTTGTCATATTGACGCTTGTGCCTTGGCTTAAGTCTCGACTTGCTTATATGTTTGCCGTCGCACGCGATTGCCTGCCAACGCTCTGGTTTAGGCTCACGTGCCTTCATTTTTGTCCTTATTATTTGATAGTTTTGACTCCACATTGATGCTGCCACGAAGTATTTAAGGAAGGCTTTGTCGGGAACATTTCATGCTGCATGAGAGTCTTTAAAGTAATGAATAATAGTCTTTAAAGTAATACTTTGCAATGTCTTTAAAGTAATGAATGGGCGGTATCACCTGTTCATATATATTATTTGCGAAGCTACAAATAGCAAGAATATTACTGTTTTTTCAGCCGCGCAATTGTCTTTGTAACCGAATTGTCAGCTTTCATTTGACACCCTTATAATTTGTTTCGAGACCTCTTTTTAGTATAAAATGCACATTTCACCGCAAGCGCTTTCCATTACAACGAGCAATTAATGGAATAATTTCCATTCCGATACGATTAATTTTGTAGCAAAGCATGAAGAGTGATTTAAATGCCACATTTATTATATATTGGTTATCCCGGTTCCACATCATATAGTTATACGAATAGCAGCCATTACGTCGCGCGCTAGTTTTGTCGTAACTCCGTAGCTCGCACATCGCTGTGTCGCTCGTACGTCTTCTCACCGTTCAGCCGAGATTTGTGTGCAGTTGCTGCAGATGTTCCCAATGACCCCATGCAGTATCGGCAGATCGTCTCTATTGAGCTTATTTTATTCCTATTTGATGTATGTTACTATTTATGTAAACGTTTATAAACCTTGTTTGGTTGAATTGATCTGATTTGTGTAGAATAATCTTGATTAGACTTTCTACGATCAATGCTATCTGAAAACATTCAGATGTTAAATAGTGCTCCATCTTATGGGCCGACTACTTATAAAGGGGGAGATGATCTACCGCTAAATTGTCTAAGTACAGATGAATTGAACAAAAGTTTACATTTCAATGTCCGTAATAATGATGCTAATTTTTCTTCATGACATGTGCTACCTTTTCTTAACTAGGTATCTTAATAGCAGGGTGTGAGTGCACATATTCAGATTAAATTTAACGTAATTTAACTGTTACTTCGGCATTGCAACTGTCATCAATCAATATGCAAATAACAAGCTGAAATACTCAAGCGTTACTCTACTTCGCTCTGCTCATCGTTTGGTCGCTCTTGCATTGAATTTGGTGCTGATCAAGCAAGCGTGTTGCTTTCAAGGCCACCACGGATCTACGAATGTTTTTCTTCTTTTCCACGGCAGTTTTTCGTCGAAGTCTGCAGCGTCGGCGATGACATCATGCTTTAGCAAGCACAGGAGTAATATAAATAGGTAGTTTCTGGCAAGTGGTTTAAATTTTAGCTTATTTACATGCCGTATTTTTCGTGTTCAAAGATTCTATCTTCTTTGTTCCTAATTGTCATCTGTCGTCACAACCAGCGCAAGAGACAAATTCTACGTACGATTAAATACACTTGATTAATTGATGGAACAACTAAAGAGATTGACCATAATTTCCATTAAATCTATAGGAGCGGTTATTTAACTCCCGCGTCTTCTAGTTAGGTTATTTATTATTATATATATTTATATAATTATTATATATTATTTATTATTTATATATTATTTAACTCCCCCGACTCTCTTTACCAGGACCAGGGCCTATATACTTTCCAAAAAAGTTAAGAGATCGTAAGTTCATCAGCCAATCATTGACAGTCTTTTAAGCAAAATCCACCCTTCATAAATAAGAAAAAAGAGCGTAAGTACTTACGTTCACTTAGCGAGTTTTGAAAGTAAGGCCCCTGGTTATTAAAGGCATTAACGACTGTTATTGTATCCGTATTTATATAGATAAGGTTAACCCTCTGTCCACTGGCGGTATGAAATCAAGCAACGTCTGTCTTTGGCTCGAAAAGTTGTTAAAGTGAGCGAGGATCTGTGAAGGGAGACATGAACGCTAAAGGCCAAAGCTCATTCCCTATCAGCTGCGTGAGCCTTCAAGGCGCTACACGTCCGCGTTCCCGAGGAACTTCATTCAATTAGAACGACAGTGGCTTTTTCTTACACCTTGTGGGTTACCAGGAGTTTTTATTCTCTGATCTTTTGTTCGGTGTTTTCCATTGTCTCTTCATTGATCGTATGCCGATCTAAAACGTGGCCCGAGATGTTGGTCTTAATTATCACATGCAGTGACTTATTTCCCTATATTTTTCCTGTTTTTCACTGTGAATTGAATTATCTGCATACTTTAGTTGAGTCTTCTTCTTGAATGAAAACTTTTCTCGATGCCTGAGTGTCGTCCGGTGCATATACATGGTGATCAATATCTATCGATTCAAATTCATTGACAAAAATGCAGCTTAAAATTTATTGATAATTAGTGCCTAAAATATTTACTCAATATAACTTTAATTAGAATACTGGTATTCTGGCGACGCTTAGAAAAGTACTTACAAGAAGTGATGAATTGCACGCTGGGGTGTGAGGTCGCTGCAAAACTCACCAGAAGATTTACCTGAAGTAAATAACTCAAATTTTGCTTTTCGTTCTTTAGCCATAGTTTAATTTACCCTCCTGAAATTATAAAGAAGTAATTAGAAAGTTGTAGAAGT